ACTCGGAAGATGCCGGTCACAGATGCCGGCAAAACGTTAGGAAACAGAACTTCAAGAACATGGCCACACAGCCCGGAAGACCCACACCAGCCATTGACTAGGATATTTTGGTATCTGAGGGAAAGTACAAGTAAAATAAAATATACCATCAATCAATCAATCAATCTCTTTTTCTCTCAAAAGTACAATAACAATTCAATAGCTAACAATGGGTAGTCCTTAAAATAATACCTGTGACATTTTGCATGCTATGACCTCATTCAGTCCACTTAATGGTAAAGCTGGCCTAACGCCAAGCCTACTCTGCCAACGTCCCTCTCCATAACCTTCTAATCTCAATAAATATGGATTTCAAAGCAGGCATTTGTCAAGATAAAATGTCACTTCGTTCTAATAAAAGCAGCCTTGTGTTTTTTGTACCCCCAAGGCTTCTTCAAGAGACAGGGCATGAAATGATGATTGTATTTCTAGTCCACAGTCCTGGGATGTTTCCTAAAAAAAGTTAATTATACCAGAAGCTTATGAACACCATCAAGCACCTTTCCGGGAGGAAGAAAAGAATAAAATCCCTTTTATACTCAACATGGACTTTGGTTTTACAATCCTAAAGCTTTCTATTTACTGTTTTCTTTTCCTACTACAGCTGCCTTAGCTCATTCTCATGTTTCTTCTAGCCCAGTGTTTCTCAGCCTTGACAACTTTAAGATGTGTGGACCTCAACTCCCAGAATTCCCCAGCCACACTGTTCTAACCTTACCTGAACTTCCTAAATTCAGGAAGTTCACATTCAGCAGTCATCAAATTGGCACTCCTCCTGTGCCTTAGAGGTATAAGGATGGCATTCTTAGCATGGAAAACTGCTATCTGTATCTGCAAGGAATGGATATCCTGAACTGCAAGGAAGAAACAAGACTTGATCCTCAGCCTTCCAACCTACTTCATGGCAGAGAGTTTTAACAGAATCAGCTGCCCCAGACATTATCAGGTGAAATGTTCCCCACCTGCTTTGGGGGAAAGCTAGGCATTTGGCATTTAATGAGAGGCTGCAAACTGCTCACAGGTTGGTTTTCTAAGTGTGCCAAGTGTTGTGCCACTCTTGGAAATGGGGGTAATG